AAAGTCGAGGCATATGGCCCACGCCTCCTCCAATTAGGCGCACAGCTTTATAAGAGAATTAATTGGTCTCGACAATAAAGAAGCCTGTTGTTGGGGTTGCTGCTGCTGCTGCTGCTGCTGCTGCTGTTGTTGTTGTTGATCATCTCTGGCAGTCGGTGGGATGAAAGGTGAACTAATTGATTTCTCTCTGATTATCTGCCTGTCTCTCACACTGCTCTAACACTTTGATGAATTGATCTGGATTGAAACAATAAAGTGAATGAGTTCATAATCGCCTTTACTGGAAAGGATTTATATTAATCCTGCTGGCATTACGGGGCCAACACAATAAAGCAGACTTAGAACATTCTACATATTTAATAACACCATGTTTTTTGTTAATATATGGTATGAACTTGTACTAAGCTTAAGGTATGTAGTTTTTTTTTTTCAAACAACCATATGAAGTATAAGTCTAATAAAGTATTTGATTGCCTAATGCCAGCCCTACCCCTTAGCAGTAATTATTCCTCTTCTATTCAGGCTGTTGTGATGAATACTTTTGGAAAATCTTGGGAAATATGCTTGAGCTTTAACTGTGATGCCTGAGCTTGAAATTGAATTAGATTGATCTTGGTTACCTGCCAGACAGACATGTAGTGGCGACACAAGCTACTAGTTTTCCTCTTACTCAGCGTAAGAGTCAAGTTTAACAGATAGATTTTCATCGCTTCTATAGGAGGCTGCCTTTTATTTTATGTGTTTTTCACCTTGTAAAGAAAAGTTACTGTGTGGATTTAGGTGTGCAGCCAACAGCAGGATCATTTCCCGCTCATGCAGTAGTTTGGTTCCAAATCTTACTCTGGTAAATTGAAGCATGATGTAGGACATTAGTCCTGTGTGAAAATCCAAGACTGAGGGAGTAGACGGATTTTTTTTTTTTAGGTGTCAGGAAGGTTGTCAGTGCTCCAACTTCAGGGCTCCTGAGCCTCGAATATGATACTGGAAAGAAGAACTGTTATTGTAATGGGTGCAGCATTGGTGTAAATTAACAAAGGAGCAAAGATCTCACCTGAGGGCGTGCTTTAATCTCTATGACAGCGGGTACACTCATGCTGCCATAATGGCTTTCAGGCAGAATCTGTGGGCCTGCTGCGTGTGTGTCAAGTGTGTGCAGGTTTTTGTACGCAAGAGTGACAGCTGCTGTCCAATCAGGATTATCATAACACCCGAAACCTCACTTGTCATTTCTCAGGTAGCCTCACCTGCGGGACTGTTTTGTGATTATCAACAGGATAAGAACAGGAAAACTTTGTATGGTCACATAGGAGGAAGAGAGAAAGAGGTGGGATCATTTTTATTATTTCAGCCAGAGTTTCTCTGGACAATTGTACTTTTCATAAGCCAGCGAGCAGCGCACTCACTGCCAAATAAGGCTGCCTCTTTTTCCACAGCCAGACATTATTGGCCTGTTGACATACAATGCATTAGTCCTTTCAGTGCTGACAGATTGCAGGTTCCAGCGTGGGTCATGTGCCCCCAGGAGGGGTTCCTGTGTCCAGTCAGACACTGGGTAACCAGAGAGGACAGGGACACCTGGACCGGCAGGTGGCTGGGGTCCAAAGCCTTCCCCTGGGGCTGCATACCTCTCTCCTCATGATCCTCCCTGTCAGCCAGGACCACAGCGAGAGAGAGAGAGAAGGAGAGGGAGGAATGTGAGGTTTGAACGAAGGGAACAGTGAAAAGAGAAAGTTCTGACAGAGAGTTGGATCGGGTGATTATTTTGTTCGCCTCAAATAACAGGCCTGCCCTCAGTTTATATCATAAATATAATCAGGCTCTCACTCATTGCCGTCACCGCTTAACGTGATCAAATTCTTCAAGCCAGCTGAGTTAATTTGTTCCACTATTTAAAGGAAAAGTCAAGAAGCTCTTGAATGGATAATGAGGTTACCCAAACCATGCTCTCACTCACTCTCCTATGCACACACACACACAAACACACACATTGTGAGTGAAGTGTGTTTGCTGTTAGATCATTGATCAACTCCAGACTCCGCTAAGAAGTGTGTGTGCGCGCGCGTGTGTGTGTAGACAAATAGCCCTGTGTGTGCAAAGCAGATATTTGGACTGAGATTAGAGGGTTGTAATTACGAGCCAAAAGCAACCCAGACGCTTTAGTAGATTATTCACACACAGACATGAGGTTGCCCTCTGACTGGGTCTGCCCGACTTCTGCCTCCATCACTCACCTTCTTCCCCGTATTTGGCATCATGTGAAATATTTTACTGTTTTTTTGTTGACGATACTGTGTTCATTTTAAAGCTGCAGGTCTTGAATTGTGCAAAGACTCAGGATCTCACCCATGTTTCCTGTCCCAAACGTGTGAACGGAACGATGAAAGCGTCAGAAGGACAAAACATCAAGGAGTCTGAGTGCTGTTCCAGGGCTTTATCCAATAATCAGATTTTAAGTGTTGCCCCCAGAGAGAAGAAACTCATCATTGAAGAATGTCAAACTGGCAGAAGAAGGCAAGATTCAACGTTATAAATCACCGGGCAACAGATTAGTTGGTTACTGAGCCCCCAAGGTTGTCACAGCTGGACCTCTCCATCGACACCACTTCTCTGTTTGCTGTCCAAATCATGCGGTTGTGAAATTTTATTCAATGATATTTCATGGCCTGCCCCTGTAGAATAATGCACATCTGTGGCCGTGAGTGACAGCACAAATGGTAGCTGTGCACTAGCATCCCTCTTTCTCCCTTTCACACACTCACACACACAAAGACTTCTGAAACTGAGAGCTCCCTTTGAAACCAGCCTGCTCCAGCTGTTTCTGCTCTCAAGAAGCTCTTTCAGACGCGGCGGATCTCACTTTATAACCATGGAGCATGCACTCTGAAAGCAGGAAAGTCACTTGCACCATCTTGAAGGC